GTGTGACAGGGAGGGGACAGTGAAGGGCGGGGGGAGCTCCTGTCTGGCACTGCTGTCAGCACAGTGCAGCTCGGAGGGAGGCACTGGGGAACGGGGTGAGGGATGTGAAAGGCAGCGCTGGCCGCGTGGAAGCTCTAACCCCCTGTTCTACCGCAGCAGCCGGTGTGGGCCCATCTTAGCAACTCCTCCGTGGTGGGAGCAGTCGGGGTTGCAGGCGCTGCCCTGCTCCTGGCAGTGGTTGCGGCCACGGCGATTGTCATGAAGAGGAGGAGAGCAACTCAGGGAACGTACAGCCCGAGCCGTCAGGAAAAAGACGGGGCTCGAGTGGAAATGTGGAACGTCATCAAGATGCCCCCAACCGAGCGGCTGATTTGAGAACTGAGGTCACACAACAGCGTCTCTGTCTTAGGTCATGGGATGTGTTTTTGTAGGCCAGGTCTGTAATGCTTTAAGCTTCTTCATAGGCTACTGCCGCGTGCCTGCTGCTACTTGCAGGAAGATTCAGCTGCTTGAATGAGCTTGGTTATTGCAGCTCATCCCATCAATAACTGTGTAAAACGGATTTGCCAGTAAAGGTTGGGAGGGGAAGAAAATGTGGAGGGAGGGAGGAGGAAAGTGTGGCTGTGGTGGCAGAGTGGGGACACAGACTCACTGTCACAAGGTCGTGCTGCATGTCACCAGAGAGCAAGGCCAGCAGCAATTGCCTCTGGCACGTGGTCACCGTGAAAGGCACCTGCAGATACGTGAGGTAGGTCAAATTAATGGGAATTAAACACCATGTTAAGAAATAATGTGAAGAACGGGGTGGTTTCAGACCTGTGTGCCTGTGCCTCTTCTGCAGGAGGTCACTGGCTGGTTGGAGGTGTTTCCTAGAGCTGCTGCTGTCCTTCATCACTATAGAGTGCACGTTGTGACATGAGAACTTGAGTACCACTGTGTGAAACCGAGTACTTCTACTAAAACCTCTCCTAGGCCTAGACTAAACCACAGGAGTATTCTAAGTGCCTGAGTGCAAGTTGCCAGTTACAGTGTTAACCCTCTTTGCAGGGAGGATGTTTGTATGTTGATAAACGGATCACTTCCTTTGGTCAGCTGGGTGATGGTACCTGGCTGATGACAGGAGCACAGCCGGCTCAGGGGCAGGCACTGCACAAGCATGACGGCAGAATGGACCTTCCTAAGGGACTGAAGGTTTGAACATTGTGGTGTTTGTGTAAGGAGCAGGAAAGAGCCAATTCAAGACCTGTTCCTCTCAGACAGGCAGGTTTGGGCTTGTCAGTACAGGAGAATGAGATTTAGTTCACTAATACAGTGTCCTTTAACCCAAACCCAGGGTTTGTGTGGTAGTGAGACACATTGCCCTAAAACGAGTATTTATTTTGTGGTGTCACCTCTCCTTTGTGTCTGTTGTAGCTGCGGAGTCTGTTCTTTCTTCACCTGGGGAAAGACATGCAGCAGAGGAGGCCAGATAAGGTCTGGAATCATTGGTGTGTCAGGGTAATTACTACAACTATCAGTGACAAGTATTTTAGCAAACAGTGGCTGCTTTTTAATCCCTGAAACACCATTAATCAGCAGGGTGTGAATCTGCCCCCATTGCTCCTCACCGCTGATGGGAGGAAAACATTGTTCTGGTTTGGTTTTATTTCTGCTGTAGCTGTGACTTTCTCTGTAATTCTGAGTAAAGGGAGGAGTAAACCCAACTGCTCAGGACCAGCTCTGCAGCACACACAGCTGCTGACTGACAGGTGATGAGAAGAAACAGTTTGGAAAGTAGAAGAAGACAATGACTGTTTTTCCTCTAATACAACCTTTCCCTCTGTAGGAGCAGGTGCTGACCCTGCTCTGGTGAGGGGTTGGAGAGGACAAAGAAATGCCCTAACTTCAGTTCATTTTTATTTATTTATTAGTAATAACACTGCTCGTACTTTGCCGATGAATTTGTTGCTCTGTGTAGTTTCCAGATGCTCTTTAGGAAGGTCTCTCACAGCTGTGCAACAGAGGCAGTGCCCCCTGTCACTCCCTTGCTGCCTGGAACCAGTTACACTGCAGCCTTAGGAAAAAGGTGAGGGTCACCTTGCTCAGCAGCGTCTGTGCCACCAGAGGATGAACAAGTTGAAGGAGGCAGCACTGTCCCAGGGGAGCAGTCCCTGTGCTGCCTCTGGAGATACAAAAAACCACCCTGACCCAACCCTGTCCCCATGGAAGGGTGGCTTTGTCCCCAGAGGGCTAGGACTGAGCGCACCTGTGCTGCCCTCGCTGCATCGCAGTGGTAGGTGGGGTTTTCTTCATTCCATTCCAACTTACAAGCTGGTTGATGACAATCAGCCACAGAACCTTCACCTCAGCTCTGGGTTCTGCACCCGCAGACCTGATTCACCTCCAGGTCGGGGTCTGTGCTTTTACCTTCCAGCTTCACTCCAGTTTTTCCATTTAAATTGTGGAAAACCAAAGGCAGCGACAGGATGTAAATGAGGCCATGTTACTCCAGCCTGTATTTGGGAAGAAAACTAGGATGCTGTTACAGAACTGTAGTTAAGCTACTGAAACAGCCTGAAGGACAACAAGCAGCTACAACCCCCTCTGCAATAAAGAGCCAAACGCAGGTAATGGCAGGCAGGGAGGTGTCTGCGGCTCCAGGGCGGCAGGAGGAAGGGTCCGTCCTGCTCCGGCGCTTCCCAGGATTGCAGAGCAGCCGTGTCCATGTCGAGCACCCAAAGCCAGTACTAGAAAAGTGTTAAAAGACTTTGTCAGTGTCTTGAGCATTTCTGCAAGATAATTTATGAAAGTCGGGGGTTTTTCAATGATGAACTTCACTTCCTTTTGATATTTAATTTTGGACTCTGTTTTTTCACAGAACTGCAGCTGCTGCGGTTCCACAGCCTGGGTTCTTTTGTAAATTTTGTAATTTGTAAAAAGATTAGAATGTCCTTCACGGAAATTTACAATAAAATCTGGTTAAAAATGAAAGTTCCCCTGACTGTGTGGTTGCTTAAGAGTACGGAGATGGCTGATTCTGACCTGTGCAGGGGACCGCAGCCATTCCCCGCGCCACAAAGTTCTCTTGGACCATCACCATGATGCTGTTCCCAAAGGACAGGAGGGGAGGGCAGCAGCTCCTGCAAGCACCACTTCCCATTTTAAATCCATCCATGTGTTAAATTCCAACAATTACAAGCGAAGTGGAAAAAACCCAAATGATTTCCAAACCTGGATGTTGGATTCTAATTGCAAGTTATTAAAAAATAGCCCCTAGTATGGGCAGGGGAATCACAAACCCCTTGTAGATAAAACCTAAGGGAACGAGGGGTTTTCAGCAGCAACGTTCTGGTATCTCCACAGCTTCCAATGCCTGTGTGTAAAACGTTTCTGACCTTGTTAGTGAATGGGACATAAGCCTGGTCGTGCCATCAGTGCAGCAGCAGCTGTGCCAGAACGCTGAGGATTTGCTGTAGCTGGGCAAAGCTTCACCAGCCAGCCATGGGGAATGCAGGAGAAAGCTGAAAGCTGACGCAGATCAGGAACACTGATCCAGGCTGGTAAAAACCACCAGAACTATTTCTACATCAGAAGAGGCCCCGTTTTCCATCCCCAAACAAGCACACCTGGGTTCCATCCGGAGTGAATCGCATTTGGAATTCCTGAGGTTTTAAATAAAACACTAAATTCTGCCCGGGGACATTTGGTTCCTTTCAGTTTTTATAAAACCTCAAGGGGTGTCCAACCTCCCCCTGCCCCTCAAGCCCAAGTGAAGGGTGATTAATGCGTTTACTGAAGTGTTAGTGCTTTTTGGTGCCTCAGACTGACTCAACAACTAAACCCAAGTGTGCTTGTTTGTCTAAAAAAAACACTGCATAAAATACTGTATAACATGGGCAGAGTAAAATGACCAGAGATGGGCAATGATACAGAATTACCTGAGCACGTGGGAGGCCTCCTCAGTTTATCGTTTCTGTGTGACATTAAAACTATTAATGAAAACCAATGTGCAGTTCCAGTGGCACATCCTGTGTGGAACCTCCTGGTGCCTGCACATACACACCACAACCACCTGGTTCATAGCACAGGAGAGCTGACATTCCAGCCTGAATTTACAGGTACCGTTCATAGTCTGAACTGTATAAAATCAAGTGGAGCTCTTATCGGAGACTTTTAATATTTTACTATGCAATACTAAAACCATCTGTCTTCCAACACAAAAGGAAAATACAAACCCAAGCGAGTGGCTCGTCAGAGGAACAGCACTGTACAGAAATGTAGTATTCATGTAAGACTAGAGTCTCCCCCAGCCTGTTGGCACGTCAGACTCGATCGCAGAGACAGCCACCGTCATACACTGAGTAAGAAAACTCCCAAGATTATGTGACTAAAATAGATACATTGGAAATCGGATAAAGCTTTACAAGAATTTCCCCGTGTCCAAAATGGTTTCCTTTATCAAAGGCTAATGGTGATGTGATTACCTCTTCTAGAGTAACATGGGTTACAGCAGATTGTGCCCAAATACAAAACGAAACGAAGAAGCACCACGGAATGAACCCAGCAATGCTCACTGCAGGGACAGCAGCTTGGAGGGATGCCGAGATGAAGGTGACGTTTCTTGAGAATACTGTTGTCTCAGAAAATCCCACTGAACGTACCCGTTAACTTCCCAGGGCCTGGCTGTCCTTCCTGGCCTCACAGTCCATTTCCTCATCCAGTCACTGTCGCGTTGTACCAGCAAACGGGTCTCAGCACTGCAGGACAGGCTGGCAGAGCCAGGTGCAGGCCAGATCCAACCCCTGATTCCAAGGCAGGCGCGGGTATTCCTGCTCCGCGCTGCCGGCGTGTCCACACACTGGCCTCTAACACGAACTCACGAGCTGGGAACTGTCATACCCCAAGTTTTTTTCTCTTTTTTGTTTGTAATAACCAAGTAAGATATTGTTACATTCCATTCATATACTGCCATTTATAGCATTTATATATAATATTAACATACACAGATATAAGAACTAGGATACTCTTTATGGCCTCTATTTTCTGACGGATTTAACAAAACCAAACAAAACCCCCCAAAATTAAAACAATTGCTGGTGTTTCCAGTTTCCCAACAGAGATGCAGGACCAAACCCTGAGCAACTGCTCTGTGCCATGGTTTTGTTGCAACAAGGACTTACAACACCTCTGCACCAGAGAAGTCCCTGTTACCTCTCAGTATACCAGGGAGGAAATCCAAAGTCTGCAATGAAAGCTCATCCAATATTGTAACCTAAATGAACGGATGCATTTCGAGACAGGGCGAACTCAGAGGCTAACAGATGCACCCCGTGCAGCACACAGGGCTGGGTTGCTTTGCTGCTCTTTACACGTGGAAGCAAAAAGATTCTGGTTATTGTGTAACACGGGAAAAACTCACCACCATTCCCCCTGTGGGAACAGCACACCAGTGTACGTGCCATGTCAAGCTCCCGCCTGCGCCAAGGACTGCAAATACAAGGGAAGGAGCAACTTCTGCCTCAGCAATGTTGTCTGAGAAGCTTTGTGTGGAAAACCAAACCCAACCCAATCCCACTACCCTCATGCTTTGGTCAGTGCAAGTCCTGGGGGTTTCCAGTGGTGGAGAGTGAGGAAAGCAGCTGCAGGGAACAGGACTCTGGGCCAAAAGCACTCGTGTGTGAGTTGCAGCACAGTGATGGTCCTGCAGCTCTCCTGGTTCAGCCTTCTGTGAAAGAAATGTTTGGTTTTATGCTGGCTCAAAAAAATCCAAAGAATCCTCTGTCAATTCCAAAGGGACATCAAAAGCCATCGGGAGCGTTACTCAAAGGTTTCCCATCGCTTTCGGAGCTGTTCAACCTTACCTGGTGCGGATGACACGTCCTGCTTTGTCTTTTTTAGCAAATCTTCAAATGGATCTTTTGTCTCCTCAGATTTTGAGGACAGTAACACTGACTCTAAGCCCTTAGCTGGCCTGGCAGGGATCAAAGGGGGTTCGTTAGACAGGAGAGATAGTGCTTGTTTGGGATCTACCTTTGAGCTGGCCTGGCCCACCTGTAAAGTTCTGGTTTTAGAAGGACCACTCAGACGTGCTGGCTGCAGAGAGCCTGCAGGAGAAGGGCTCTGCAGCAGTAAGGAGCTCGCCGGTGGCACGGCTGGAGCCTGGCTAAACAAGTTTGGCATGGAGAGTGTTGAAATGTTTGGTTGAGGTCTTTGTGGTGGGTAGAAGCTTGAACTAGGGGTTATGAAGCTAGAGCTATAGGCGTGACCTAAAGAGGGGGTAAAAGAGCCCCTTGGGGGCCTAACTAGAGACACCGAAAGGGCTCCTGGCATTGTTTGTGTGAATGGGTTAGGAGATGACTGTAAAAAGGGAGGAGGTGCTGGGGAAGGATAACCCAGTGGCTGGACAAATGGTGTAGCTGGAGTAGGCACGAAGTCACTTGCCACCGAGGCGAAGCCAGCTGCAGAAGGTGAAGCAGCTGAGCTCTGCAGGCTGCGGGGCCCTTGCTGTGGGCCACTGCTTTGCCAGTTGGCTGTTTTTAATGGATCCAGTAGATCAAGAAGGTAGTCGCTTTCGTTACCTGTGTTTTCTGTCTGCACCTTGACAGGCTGGAGCATCTCAGCAGTGCTGGTAGCACTGGGCAAAAGCTGAGACGGACGAGAGGAGTAATTTACAGACTGCTGGATTTCAGAGTCTAAGGACATGCTACCAGCTCCGAAGGGCTCTGGGATTAGATCTGAAACCAAATGGCTACGTCCTGGGGTGAGAATTTCTGCTGGCCCAGATGGAGTCTGATGCTTGGAAGCCCTGGGTGCTGGTGGTGGTGGCACTATCCCCAGTTCAGGAGTCTTTCTTCCCTGTGGCCTAGGAATGGTGATGTTCCCTTGAATGGCAGGATTTGATTCATCCTTTTCTGCAGGGGCCAAGATGCTGTCTTTGCTCCGGGGTCTCCTTGTGATGGATGGCATGTTACCAAGTGCATTCAGGGGCCTTTCCGGTGAGCTTTGGGAATACTTGGTCGGAATAGCCATGTCATCATGACCCATACTCCACAGCTTGTTGTAAGGGTGAGACAGCTTCATGGGTGGCACAATCCTGTTCCTCTCAGACACGCCAAGATCCATTCTCTTGAAGAAAGCATAAAAAAATACGTTAACTTTCACTGATGTCCTCACAACACACAGCATAAAGAAGCATAAAGCCAGGCTGCTGAGCTATGGGTGGAAGAGGATCTGCCCACAGGCTGCCAACACTGGAGAGGGAAGGCGCATGCAGTCTAGGAGGACAGGCAGGACATAAGAAGCAGGACTCTGCTCTGCCTTTAACAAGCTGCTCAGCTATGACATATTGTGGCATCTGTTGTTAGCCAAGTAAGGAGCACGTACCTTATCTGAGATATGGGAATTGAGAAGCTTTAATTGCTGTAAGGAAAAGCTGTCAAATGAAGTACCTGGATGTAACACTAAATTAAGTATTATTATAAGGTGGAAATGCCATTCTCTTCTTTCATGTCACATGAAGATCTCAGACTCTGATTTAGTTTGGCACTTTCTAAGCTGCACATAATCAGTGAAATTCCTCATGAAGAATCTCTCTTCTACAATCTGGGTTGTTCAAATGACACCTCAACCAAACTGGCCAGAATGAATGAAGGTCATTTAAAAAACATACAGTTTGGAGGGGACCTGAAACTTCCCAGGTATTTTTGCTCACTGCAAAGCATCAGCTTCAAAGATCACTGTGTGTGACACCCAGGGGACAAAACACCTTCTGAGGAGCAGGGCAGACACCTCCTTCTTGAGAGGCTTTACTGGAAAAAGTTACTGTCATATAACTGAGTCCCATCCCAGTAATTTCTTAATCCAGACATGAATTTTGACACATGAACAAATGCCTGGAAAATGGATGCATCTACTCAATGACATGAAAAGGTTCCTCAGAGAATCATAGAACGGTCTGGGCTGAAGGGACCTTAAAGCTCACCTAGTTCCAACTCCCTGCCACATCCAGGGACACCTTCCCACAGACCAGGTTGCTCAAAGGCCCCTTCAACCTGACCCTGAACACTGCCAGGGATGGAATAATGGAAAGACAGCCAGCCCTGGTTCTGTGCAACCCAGCACACACACGAAACCCCAGCCAAACCTGGTAATCAAATGTACACCGCTGATCCCCCTCTTCTTTGGGAGTCCGCAGGTCTTCCAGGCTCTTGGCTTGGCTGAGAGGCTGAGGCTGTGTTTCTACTTCTAAGTTTGGGAAGATGTCTTCAAGGAGGTTGATTTCTGCGGCCTTGCTTGAGAGGAGAGGGCTTGGGGGCAGAGGCTCTTTGGACTTTTCTGGGCTGCCCGCCTCTTCCCCATCAGCACTGTCGGATTCTTTCAGGGCCCGGTATGGCTGAGGCCTTGGGGAGAAACAAAAATCAGGTTGCCAATGACGGTCTAATTAATTACTATTTTTTTTAACAAGTATTTACTAAGGAGCTGGATGGCTTCACAAAAGGATTTTGGGTGGCAAAATAGTTTCCAGTGCCTTGGGAACGACATGAATGTGAGCAGTGACGAAGGGCAGAACACACACAGATGACTTGGTGCTTGAGGGTTTTCAGAAAGGATAAAGAAATGGGAAGCACTCAGAGGAAAGCTGTGATCATGCAGTTGCAGACAGGCTGAGGGGGGATCTCCATCTCGGAGCAGGAATAACTGGACACCAGCTCTCCCTTTCGGCACCAACCCCCCTCAGCAGACCACTGCTCCCATGCCCTTCCACACAGCAAGTCAGAGCCAGCACATAGCAAAGCTCCCTGTGATTTGCAGGCACTGTCATTCTCCTGCTCCAAGCTAACTCAGCACAGAACATAATTCAGTGTTTTCCTGCAATAATTGGGAACACTGTGCAGAGTTCCAATGATTACACTGGTGTCATCTTATCAAGAAACAACACAATCCATTATGGAGACACCTATTTTACATTTACAGCCGAGGCCGAGTTCGCGGGATGCTTTCCTTGCACATACCTCAGCAAAAAATGAACACCAGCAGATTTGCATATTGGTTCTGTGTACAGAGAACAGCAGCATAATGTGCAGCCAATTAATAACTAGAAGTGCCACACGTATCTGTGGTGATTGACATTTGACTGGCAGCCAGTTTTACTGTGGCATTTAAACAAGGTTTCAATTAAAAGAAAATATTTGTGAGACCTGCAAAAACAGACACTATGGAAGGAGCTTCCTCTTTCCTTATTTTATTATAATACATCTATATCATGCAAATTTATAAACAGCCCATCGTCATTCATCAACACGTATCGCAGGCATTCAGCTAGCAACACAAGAATGTATGATGCAAGTACAAACAGACAGCTGATGGTACGTGTCCTTAGGAAGAGGGCAATCTTGCAAATCCTGGTTGTATCTTTAGTCTCTCCCACAGTACGTGCTCAGCTGCTAAGCACTACAGATCATACTGCAAAAACCCTGAGGAATATTCTGCAAACAAACCATTCTAGCAGCCTGGCCCCTGCCACCCCAAACACGAGAGTGGGAACACTTATCCATCCCTTTGCTACTAAACCTGTTTGTCCATCTCCCCATGTCCAACTGCTGCAGGCCCATCACTTCCCTGTCAGTCCTGGAACTGCCTTCTGCATCACACAATGGATTTTAGCAAATAGACTCTGCTATCCAACCAGCAGCCTCCTTTTCCAGCCAGTCTAACACACCTCCATTCAGCTCCAGCTCTCTGATGTGGCTGGGCACAGTCCCATCTCCTGGAACCACCTGGATCTGGCATCACACAGACCTCTGAATCAGTGGCTCACAGTGCCCTTGCACCTCTTCTACAGATTCTGGTCAAGCCAATAACAGCATTTATTACAAGCATGAGTGTAATTCCATGCAATTTATCACGGTTTCTCCCTAGAAATCCTTGAGCAGGTGAGATTAGGAAAGAACCAACCCTCTGGATGACAATCAGTAAGGCCTCAGCTCAAGACTGCCTCAGGGTTGGTATGTTCAAATACACAGGAAGAGGTAGTTACTACACGTGAGTCCCTGTGCACCTCCAGTGTTACTCTCACCTCAAAGAAATACGGTCAGGCTCCTGTGAAGACTGTCCAGGTAAAAGAGTGTTGCCTGTCAGCTCCTGTTCCCCCAGCATGGGGCAGAGCTCTGCAGGCAATGCTTATGCATATCTCTCACAGGCTGGTGGCTCCAATACGGCCAAGCTTCTCAGCACCATGGACAAAACTAGGCAAGACTAAGTTACAGAGGTTTGGGAATTTGCAAATTAAAATGCTGGATACAAATAACACAGTGAGTAAACCCAACAAAAATGCTTCCTGTTTCATATAATAATTTTAGGTCAGACTGTATGCAAAACCCCTACAGGACATCTGCATGGTGAATCCCCATCATCACTGAGGACGTGGTACTTGACAGAACAGAGAGGCTGGGATCAAACAAGTGAAAGTAGGAAAAGCTGGTGACTGCACTGCAATAAGGCTCAAAGGACAATCCAGAAAGCACAATGAGCATTGCACAAGCCCAGATGGCAGAAGGTGTGGACAGGAACACAAGCAGCACATTGCAACAAAGGGCAAGAGGAAGGGTTACATCCCACAGAGCTCGAGCTGATGTGAAACCATAAACTCTGCATCGCTGTGTAGTGTTTCATGCAGGAGAATGCTTTTGCATGCCACTAAATATTCAAACAGACAAGCAGGAGAAATGCTGAACATTCATCAAGTGCTGTACAGAGACCGCAGGAGCATTTCCAAGAGTCCCAGGAGCAGGCACCCTGACCAATGCCAAAACCATCATTCAGAGACTGAATACAACAGAAAAATAAAGGATAGACCATTCAAAAGGAGCAGAGAAGAAAAAGTTTTCAGAGAAGCCAGAGACAGGATCCTCTTCCTGCTGAAATTCATCGTCAGAAGAGTCCTCAGAGAGGAAGACTGTATAGTGTCGCATGGGCTTTACAAGGCTGAGGGAAACAGGAAGAGAAAAGGAAGTTATCAAGTTGTCACAATCAAAGCTCCAGAGAAGAAACCCAGCGGTCCACAGGCTCTCAATCATTTCCTAGCATGACGGGCTGCACTGCAAAGAGCTCTGCAGGTGTTTGTGGAGCTCTGCTTTTCAGGCAGAAAACACAACTCTTCAAAACATTTAGGTGCCATCTAGCTGGGGAGGGTACCAAGACCTACAATTACAGCCACACTGCAAAAGAAGCCAAGGCAGAAACCCACCAGGTCTCTCCTTCCTTCCTCTCATCACTACAATGGAAAAGAAATGGCTAGGGTTATAAAAGCAAACATTCTGGCTGTCTGAATGAGGTCTTTTCCCAAACATCTCCATTTTACCAATCACACACCACTGGTAATATCCTAGTTATTGTAGTGAATCAAAACATACTCCATGAATTACCCAAAGCAATACACAATTGAGGTGGAAGCCTACTTCTGCTACTACTGAGCTCCAGAATGGAATTCTTCAGTGCAAACAGAATCAGGCCCATCATGTGAACAAAGGACAGGTGCTGATCCTGTAGACATCACAGAGCAATGTAGATGTATTACACACCGTGTACATTCTAGGTAAGACAGGGATACGCTGATATCAGAACAAGACCAACAGCATAGAAAGAATTGGATTTGTTGCCTTTACAGTACTAAAACTACCTTGAATGGCATCTGAATTCATGGTCAGCCTTCACTCTTTTAGTTCTTTTATCTCAATTGCTAAGTAACTATATGATAAAGTTATGAAAATCAGGCTAAAGGAGTATGTCAGAAAAAGGGAAGCTGGACACAGCAACAGGCAGCTCAGAGGGCCCAAGCTGCCACCCTGAACAAATATTTATCCACAATCAGGTCAAAGCTCATTAACAGAAAGTCTCAAATAGTGGTGGCAGTACATGCTGATGAGAGTGTTAAATCCTAGCCTGGGGTACCTCAGGTAAAGCTGTGGCATAGCTGTTCTTTTCCTCTCTTCTGCTACAACAGGCATCTGGGGAAAGCAAGGTGAGGCCACTGCATTAGGAAAAATTTGCTGCAACATTATTTTTAATCCCCATCCCTTCTTTTTTTTTTTTAAGAAAGTGACTGTTGGCCAAAATTTTCACTTTACATTAACAAAAGGCTCCACCTAAAATAAATCAGAAACCAAAGAAACTTCAAAAATATTGCTGAACTTACATACACATCTTTTTGTTTTAGGAGAACAAATTACCATTTACCATGATGCCAGAAAATCTAAAATGATTTCCAGAAATCAAGAGCGATATTGAATTTCTACATATCTCACCAGTACACAAAATGTCTGGTAACTGCACAGAACAAATGTATTGGTGCAGTTTCCCTTAAAGCACTGCCTCTGATACCTTTTGTTTGCCTTCACACTATGCTAAATTCAAATGTTCTGCGTCTGCGTGCACACATTTATTAAACTGGGAACAAACTCTGAACCAACAAGACAGGATCTTGTTGGCCAGATCATCAGCTGCACTTCAGTGCAGCTCAGTGCAAACTGAATTATGTACAGAGCAAGTTCACATATACCGGGCTTGCTGCTGCAAGATTCCTTAAATGAAAGTGGGATCTCCTAATTAGAAGAAAGCAAGCGCTTAAGTTGCACTGCTGGGGTGCTCTGTAATGATCCTGGTCCAGGAGAAGGGATGAACAATCTAAAATTGTCCAAGTTTAAATTTTTTATTAGCTCGAGGCAGTCGGATCCAAAAAAAGTGCCTATTCCCTCATTAACCCAATTCGGGAACTCTCCCGCCGTCTGCCACCCACCACTCGCTCCAATCCCCTGCACAAAGAGCCGTCTCTGAGCAGGCAGGTCACAGCACGCCCGGCTACGAGGCAGGCACGGCTGCAGCCTGAGAGGGAAAAAAGGATGTGTCCGTCACCGCTACAACCCTCATCATCTCCACATGACTGCACCAGCTCCTGCCTACCTAATCTCTTCGCTGAGTTACCATGCAGATGACTTGCTGATCTCTTTCTAATGTTTAGTTTAACATGTCTTCGGTTAGCACCAGCATATGACAGTACTGACAGCCGTGGCTGTTCCTTTTTAAATATCATGTCAGAAACACAGCGCAATAAAGCTGGGGATGCGCTCCATGGCTCTGCGCACCATTATGATAGTAGGGGTTTCTTTTTTAATGAGGAAGATCTGCATCTCAGGAGCTTTTTTCATGTGTCAGGATGCATGGACAAATCAGCAGCACATCACACTGGCCAAAAATGAAATGCTGACAAATGTAGATATTTCAAATTTAATTGACACCTAAATGTACTTGAGATAGAAAAAAAAAATATACACAGAAATGTGAGTGTAGGGGATGGGAATTAATAAGGAGAATTCTGTAATAATTTAAAAAGAGATTTTGGTCATGAGAAAATTAAGTTTGTGGTTTTTAACAACCATGTTGCTTTTTCCTGATTATAGAGATCGTGGTACAAAGGGGCAGTACGCACTTGTTGTCATTTTCCTCCTAAAAAAGGGCTTCCCAATTTGGAGGGAGGATTATTTTTTTTAATTTTTTTTTTAAGAATGACTCTACAGTAGCTCAAGGGAATTAAGGAATTTGCCCCTCTTAGACAGTAAAATGAAGAGAATGAGGAATTTGGATGCACGGGCTTTTTCTTGCCAGTATGAAATAGGAGACTTGGGACTGAGGGGATTACCCAGTAACTATTCAATGTGAACAAAGCCCAGACCTATCACTGGAATTCCTTCCTGCTTACTCTGAATACTCGGGACGCCTGAGTGCGAGCTAACACAAATAGCAAAATATCCATTTGATTTTTAAAGTGCCACTTGGTATACTGTGAATGTTCACAGGAGCAGAGCATTTCCAGAAAACCAAAAACATCAGCATAAAGGATATTTTAAATTAGAAACGACAAAACAATTCGTATCACAAGTCATCCAAGCAGACAGCAAAAGCACCAGCTCATGATCCCTGTACCCAGGAACAGCAGTAACTAATAGTCTTTATGAACTTTTTACAAATGTTCTAGAGAGTTGGAAATACTAACAAAGAATTTAACGTGGGAACCAGCTGGATGACACCTCTGCCTGCTCTGACAGATCTAGATGTGAGGTTCTACAAAGGCATTTCGCGTTTTTGTCCTATTACTCGGTACTAAGGATCTATTCACCCATTTCCCCTGCAGCGATCTCATCCCTTGACAAAGGCAGGCTGTTACATTCGTACAGTTAGGAGGTTCACTCCAAAGCAGACAGTGGAAATAGGCCCCAAAATTAAAGCTTCTTTTAAACCATCATACTGGGACAGAGCGAGGCTCCCCAGGGCAGCCCTGCTTGCCTTGTGCCGTGGTTCGGGCTCGGCAAGGCCTGCAACAGAACCTGATGGCTCTCTGAATGTTTCTTTCTCGTTTGCTGCTCCTTTGCTGTCCTGGTGCCACCTTCATTGTATCTAGCTTCCCCTACACCAGCTTTCCCAAGGGGGAGGAACAAAAGCACACACAGTGAGCCCTGTCTGCTATACCCTGCAGTATTTTCTTTCTGATTGCAGCCATCCTTGCTCATATGGGCACTTGCTGGCTCAACTTTCTTCCTAAGCAGAGATCTTGCTTGCAGCAGTGCTATGGAAAACCTTTACCATACACACACATTCTGTGTGTCAGAGCTCCAAGAGCCTGGTTACAACAACTGGAATTTAATGTACTTTATAAGCCTGTATCATTCAACCCTGCCATCATGCTGACTTCATACTAAATTCAGTGTAATAACCCACTATTGCACTGCAGCCTATTTTCATTCAGGTGATACAAGGAAAAGCCATTAGCTTCTCTACTAAGTCCTACCCGACTTGTGGAAAGCCATAATGAACTGCTGCAGCACTGACATGAGTTTAGCCAGCCCAAGAGCCTTTTGACATGCTGTTAATTGTGAACCTGACCCTCTGATTTCCTATTTTAATTTCCTCCCACTCTGCATGCCCTGGAAGCCAGCTAGTTGGTACTTACAGAAGACAGATCCTAGAGTCCTCTGGAAGCCTATTCTACATTTAATAGGAAATCTTGCTGTGGTGTAAAAGAGAGCTCTCAAAAACCTGCCTATCTGTTAAAAATGCAACATCGTATTTCTGTGAACAACTAATTTGTATTTAAGGAGCAATGTCCCAGGTGTCTAGGACTGCCCCAGGTGGTAATCCAGCATTGTCTGACCTCTCATCTACAAATCCTTCCTCTTACTTTACAACTAAAAGACTTTTTTAAAAAATTATACGTTTATGTTAGATTTCAGAATTTGACGAATGATAAACATCACAAACCTTGAATTATCAATAAAGCTGTAGAAAAATAATCTTCCTATTGAAATAGCAAAAAAAAACCCTACTGAACAATTTGATGAAGGAAACAACAGCTCTTCCACCAGCTCTTCTACAGTGGTTTAACAACAGACATTAGCCATCATCTTGGGAGATCTTTTAAGTCACTGCTCACACCCTCCTGTGTTTTAATTGAAGGCTGATTAGAAATGAGCACACATACCCCAAACCAACAGTTTTCTTTTATACAAATAAAAAAGTTTAACTTATGTAACTGAAGATACAAGTTTCCTTTTACCATAAGAAATGTACTAACAAATGTAACAACTGAAAGGCCACTTATATAAGGGTTTGCTTTTCAGAGGTGACATGCAACATTACAAATGGTGAAGAGGCTGCCCTGTGGAACATGTTCCTTGGGCAACAAGGGTGTCCGTGGTTAGCGGTACCTGTCCCAGGATCCTGCCTCCACAGACTGGAGGGAGGATGCGTAAGGGCAGCCTGGGCTGATGAGTTAGATATGCTGAGAAAAGTCTCTGATGCCTTCAAGTAGTCATTCAATACCAAAATGACAGTGTTAGTTTTACATGCAAAAAGAAGCTTCTCATTGAACGGAAGCTCCTACTCATAAACATATCCCATATGCGAGTACTTGGAAAAAGTAACTGGCTAATAATTTGGTTTTGGAACCAGTGCTAATAATTAATTAGTTCTGGTAAAGTTTCATTTAAGAAAAACACCCTCTCAGTGCTGCTGATTCCATGGAATCTACTCTGATCTACAGCAGGGGTACACCAAGGCTACCGAGTAATGAGTGAAAACACAATACTGGGGTGCTTTCATTCACAGAGAACAAGGGACTTTTTTAAGAGACAATACCTGACTTTATGTTTTTATTTCAGAACAATAGAGGAAATTCTTCCTGGGACAGAAGAAAGTTTGTGAAACCTGTGATGAAAATCCTTGATTACTACTTGAAAATATACTTCCCATTTTTTCAAAATGTCATTTTGATTTCAATCATTACCTGTTCCAAATGCATTCACCTGAAGTTATTTCTTAGTTTAGCCATTTATTTGAGCTTTATTTAAGTACACGGTTAGATATTTCCTCCACCTGTACTTCCAAACTCACCACTTTAGTGTTATTCTCATCATCAGTGTGTGTTGTGTGTCCTGTCTCCCTATTGCCCCAACTTGGTTTTGTTAGAACACCCTAAGCAAACACTTTACAGGAGATCTAGCAGAGTGCAATAGACTGGAGGTAGTTCTGTCAAAGTTTGCTTTGCCATTTGAAGCTGATACAGCAAAGGATGAAAATACATCCAATCCTGCTGTGACACTGCATCTGAACTGGATAAAATATGGAAAACTGTGAAAGATCAGGAAGAGACCACAACTGGTACTACCCTATAGCCAGTGTCAGTGGTCTGAGCATATTACCTCATTTTCTTCCACACTTACAAGATAGAAAAATGTATCTGTAAAATGCCTGTGAAGCAAAACAAATCAGTTTACAGCTACCAAGAATCTTCATTATCCTTTGTAGATTATTGTAAATTATTTTCACAATTGTTTTTTAGTTTACTCTGTGAAAGACTCTAAACTTAACAACAATAAATTAAACCAAAGTAAAATAATAATGTTGATTCAATGTGTTGCTAACATTACTATAAATACTATATTTATAATTCAGGTTTATGGTTGTTGCTGGTCTGATACTGGCAGGAACTGAAAATATGTATTAGCAGTAAACCACATTGGAATGGCAATCTAAAGATTCATATTTCTTCCCATGAAACACATATAATGGTTAAATTGACTCAATTACCTCTCACCTACATGCAATGAGTCATCATATGAAATTAAGAACAAACCTTTTATTTTAAGAATTGCTATAATCTGTGCAGGGCCAGGTACCACCCTGTAACCACACAAGCCCTTTTGCAGGCTTTGCAGTCTGCTCCACAAGAGGGCAACCAAATTCCACTACAAAATGGATAAATAATCTGGTAGAATTGAACAGTGACCATTCATTTAAGCTAAAAGCAAGAACACCTCCCCATGCTAAAGTGGCTGGGAAAAAAACCCAAGCCATGCACTTAACTTTGGGAGGACAACTTCTACCGCTTATTCCCAACCTCTACCCTATAACAGTGGTGACAGGGAACTGGCACACATGTGGGGAAAAGGTGTGTCTAAAGAAACCAACCATTTTTCCTTTTATGGGATTTTAGTATCTTCAAATACAACAAATATCCCATAACCTTTATCACCTAAAGCATTTCACTTTACTGACAATAAAGCAACCACAGTATGGGACATAAATAATGCAAAGTGGCTATGATACAAGCAATTATTTTGCGCTGCAGGTGCAGACAACTTCCAAGGAAAACTCTGTGACAGACTAGACCTGTGCCACCATCTTGCAGCCCCTGAGTCTTCTGCTTTTAGTCTTTGAGCAGTTCCAGTGTGACTTCCCATGTCGAAGCAATGCCACAACACTGGACATTTGGAAAATGCTACTCCACTCCCAACCAGAACATAGTGCTGGTGACTCTTTTGTACCTCTGAGCAGTTAAGTAGCTACACTCGGAAGAATCCAAATTATTTTAAATCCAATATGTGCACTGATGCAGCCTACACATGCATTTATCACACACTATAACGTCTTTTGGGCTATACTGGTAAGGTTCAATATATCCATTCTCTTTTCAGGCTTTCACTCGATGGCCTATTGCTAACTCAACTATAGCAACATGTTAAGAGTATCTGCAGCAATACACAGCACTGTCTTATTTGAAAAAAAGTACTTTAATATGTGACATTCATGAAACTATCTGGAAAAACAGATCTGCAAGGTAACAGAATATCGTGTTCCTATGAGCAAGAGAGATGTTGGAAACCAACACATTTTGTACATGAGCAGTAGGCTACACCAGTACAACTTCCTTAGAACATTATCCCTGTTTACATGACAGTCAAATATAAGAAGGTGGTAAATTTGCTAGTACTATGCAAGACAGTTAAGTTCTATAAGCCTTCACTATAGAGCTCATTACAGACCTTCTGTTAACGGCGACAACCCTTACTGCCATCACTGAAACAAATAATCCTGTATCTTCCAGATAAAGCCTGGCAGGAAGAGTGGATTTGCAGGGAGGCGGCTCACAATTGCATTTAAAGCATAGTTCAAAACAAAACAATAAAGAAATGAACAAATCTCCAAAACCTGAAAACTTTCCCAGAGTAAGGCTGATCAGATGTCTAACCTACCAATCCAGAATATTCCAGGAAGTACACTTCAGTTTCTTGCTTTTTCACACTTCCTCTAAAGTGTTCCAAAACTTGAAAACCAATTTTTTCCTTAGTTAATAAAAATAAAACATAAACCAAAAACCTTTGATGTGTAGTATTTTTTAATTTCTCCTTTGGATAGTTCTGAACACACTGCTTGCTGATACAAGTAGAGAGAAGAAGAGCAGCACAGTACTTACTGTTCTGGACTGGAGACTGAAGTCCTTCGTCCTTCCACGGCAATATTACTCTTAGGTCTCTTAACAACATGAGGTCTTGGTGGGCGAACCTATGACACACACATAGAGAAGACATTTCATCAAACAGATCAAACAACAGACATAAATAACAAAACGTGTAACCACTGTTATCTTACACGTACCCTCCATTCAGTGTGTCTTTTTTTGTGCCATGACAATGTTACAAATTAATGTAGATATACAAATGAATAGAAAGCATGAATATAAACCACAGGGACTCAACTTGTGTAAGGAGAAAAAATCCCCACGTTTTTGCCTAGCAAATGAAATATATATGCTTGTCACTGCCCATTAGCTATTAGCAAAGCAACAAAAATTTGTTCCAGTGTCCTGTTTGGTGTGGGCTAAAATTTCTGATGAAAAATACCCTAAATGTGAGCTTCCTGTTACACAGTTTGTTGATAGAGTAAAACTGGAAACTCCTGTGTGTTGCTGTACATTATATTGGAAACTGGAGCTCAGCTTGGACATCATGATCCTTTTGTCCTCTTGTTCAAAGAGGATAAAACCCAACTTCTCAAGTCAAGACCTCTGTGTAAGGCAGCACTGAAAGAATCTGTACTTAGAATAAATGTCGTAACAGGAAAACACAGCTCATTCTTCATTAAAAATCTGCTTCCTTTCAGTAGCTGAACAGAAACCGTTGCCAGATGTATTATCATTGTCACCCCTAATGTTACATTAGTTTATCTTTTGTCATGTAATAAAATCTAGAGCTGTTCTGTGGAAGATGATGTTGCTGCCAACACAATCTCAAATAACATATCCATCACCTTCTAATGGTCAGAAATCAAACTTAATTTACTTACATTAACTCCACAAGCAAACAAGTTCTACTTCAAGAAAAGGTACAAATGCTTATGATTACTATATAGGCAAAGTTTATGGATGTGCCTACCCATGCTAGTGAGTAATCCTGTTGATGAACCTACCCCTATGAACCAACTGTGGGAATGAACATTTGCAGCATCAGGGTCAGGCTGTACAAAGCAGCTTTCCATTTTTTGTTAAACAAGTACTACCTTACCTGAAAAGGAGTCCGATTTGTTGGCTTAGCTAAATGCTAGTTTCAAAAGAAATCCCCAAATCCCTCAAGTAAAGTTAGGAATACAACTCCTGACCTCCCTGTGCTTGTGCTCCCTTAATAGCCACAATATAAAGGAAGCTGTTTAGGCCGACAGCATAAGCACTCTTAGGATGACTAATGAATTTGTGTGCAATGATAGAATAGATGAAGATTTCCTCCCACCTCAGCAAGTTTTTGTTGGGTTTTTTGGTTTGTTTTTTTTTTCTGGTTTTGCGTTTTTATTATTTGGGATAGGGAGCTTCTGGGCTTTTAGGTTTTCTTTCCTTTTCCCAGGCACATAAACCTCAAATTTTCTTGCCAGGAAAAAGCCACCAAAATGTGTGTCATGTTTCTGCACTACACAACAGTATGCAGAAGATAGCAGGAGGATTATTGTACTGAATTTTCATTTCAAAGGAAATGGTGTACAGCAGATATGATGAAGAAATCCAGAGATGTATTGCCACTATTTCTTAGGAAAAAGGGCTTATGAAAAGGTCAGATGTTAAGGTCTTGAAGATCAGTCCCCACACGAGGCTGCTCCTCTCTACAATAAAGACGGCTTAAGAATGTGAATTTATGGCAGGAATGGAAGGATTAAGTTTGTGGCAACTTCAACTGAACTTGCAACGTGGTGAAACATGGGGAAAAGAACAACAGAGCTAATTAGACGAGCTGAGCTGTCAGAGTGCGGCAGAATGGCTCGGTGCCAACAAACAAAAGGAATGGGCTGGCAATCAGCAGGATCGATGAAGAATACTGCTTCATTAGGGTTGATAAAACAGAGAGAGAGACCGAGAGAGAGCCAGTGCGTGCAGGAGAGGGGGGAGAGGAGCGAGAGGGACTGGGGGGAGAAGGGAGCGAGAAGGGGAAAGAGAAAAAGAGAGGAAGAAAGAAACCTGTTTAATTAAATCTGAGCTGGAAGATGATGTGTAAAGCGGGCTTGTCATCATGCTGTGAACACTTTCACCTTTTGGGTGGTTCCTCGGGGGAGTGAGGGTGATGGGGGAGAGAGATGAGAGTTTGGGATGGCTCCAGGGGCCACCAGACCAGTGAAGTGCAGGGTGACATGCTAAGCAGGATTTAGAGCATTGTTCATGGGGGACTACAGGGAAAGCCAGGAATCAAGCCAATTCCTTGCTGGATCTGGAGCCTTATGTAGCCAAATAGGCAGGGTTAAATGCTTATCAAATGCAAAAGTATGAAGGAAATCCAATTATGTGAGCCCACAGCTAAAAGAATAAAGGTAAACATCCAGTAGAGAAGGGTTAAATGTGCTTATTACTGTCTCCATCAACTTTATGCATAATTATTATATTTTAACTTTTTCTAATTGAATGAAGTTTCCAAACAGCCACTATTAATCCAAACAGATCTCTATTAATTATAAGCAATAACCCTCTCTCTCTCTCATAATACCACTACAACACATTTCCAAAACAGCAGAATGCAAAGAACATATCTGTTCTGCTTCCTTAACCTTTCTTTGGTCTGTGTTTTTGTTTTTAGCATTAGCAATGACTCATATTGCAAGGACTAGTGCCCATGGATTCCTCCTCTTAACAGATATGTCCTGAAACCAGTAAGGATTTCTCAGGAATTCTGGTATTACATGGACTTGGTTGGAAGAGCAGGACCTGGTCTCCTCTTTCAGTGCTTGCTGTAAAAGCCTGGGGTAAATTACTTGCTGATACCCACCTCTGTAATACATGCCAAGACTAAGGGAGGGAAAAAGCAGCCTGCACAAAGTATTATTTACACACACAAAAAATGTGTTTCAACTATTAAAAGCCAAATAACAGTTCTGAACAACAACAAATTTATGTATATTTGGTACAAGCATATTTTTGGGAGTGATTATAATCATTTGCATTTATCTTGAATTTCCTCTTGATGAATGAAGCATTTCTGTTCCACTTATTGACACAGCTAGATGAATGCAACAGGAGCTTTTATTATTACATTTCCAGCCTTTTATCAATCACATTGGGAGCAAAGACAGTTGACACAAACACATTATAGTGAGGACTATTAATGCACTACAGCTGGGAGATTAAACACTCTTAGCAGGACTTGATGCAAAATAAATTACTCAATCTGAACAATACTGTTCAGCAACTTTTGTACAGAAGAGTCACAGTGTGCCCTCATACACCTGCCAAACACAAAACAAGAGGGCTATGGGAACCCCATAGTACCATGGAAAGTTCATTCCTAGTGTCTCCCACATTAATTACATTTAAGAGAACACATAGAAGCATAGTCAATGCTACCTTTTAAACACAGAAAACAGAAATCTTCAGAGCAGGAATCCATACAAGTGACTCTGTTAGGCTAAACACCCAGAGTTAAAAAGAGGGAGGGAAAGAAACACATGCTATTGAAATGTAACATAAGAAACATGCACCAAAGATCAAAAGTTAACACACACCCGAGTGCACTTGTTAACTGGTTGCCTGCTCATCCAAAACATATCTTTAACAAGTTTTAGCGAGATTAGATTTGAAAACTTGCATTTATTTCTTATGCACATACATGTATGTAATATGGAAGCAAGGAGTAAGATGTATTTGCCTTTGGGGAAACTGTATTCATAAAGCAACAGTCCGAAACAGAAATAAGTATCTTCCAAGGCTGCTGCAAAACCCAACACCCCTTCTAAGCTGATACTGCTTGCCTGTACTACCAAAAAAATAAAGAAACACTGATGCAGCAGAGTGTCCAGCTTTAAAGCCATCTGGTATACTTAGTATGTGACAACTGTCCTACAGTTAGTTTTGAATGAAAACCTGCTGAGATAAGGTATCCCTGCCTAACACAGCGCAGGTATTGCGCTGAGAATGTCTGCGTAGTTCTTCTCTTCCAGAGTCACTTCCTCTCGCCAATGTGCTGTGCCTACATTTTTTACACTACATTACACAGAGTCTACATATATCATCCATAATGTGATACTAATGTTCTACCACCCTAATACGGATTTTGCTTTCTTCATGTGTATTCGCACCTCTATTTTATGGAGAAAAATTAAGTGTCCCAAATTAATTTTAAGTCTCTTCAGACTTCTGCTTCCTTTCATATTTGAGGTTAGTGCAAGTCTTCAAAAGTTCACTGGCTAAAAACTTATGCTGGCCTAGCAAGACTCTAAGAAATCACCGCAAAAGTAAAACCAAATGTTGCAAGAGCAGCATCAGTTACCTGCAGAACTGACTGAAAGCTGCAGAACTCGTCAAAGAAAAGCAGAACAAACGCAGGTCCCAGGGCTGTGCCGCAGCAGAGAAGAAGGGAGTTTAGGAGCATAATTCACACATTGCTTTTTTGCAAAGTTTGACAATCCAAACTACCAAGGTTTAGTAATGCTACTAAGAGCGTAATTCAGGCAGTGTTAAGCTGTGGCAGTGAGACAAAACTACCAACTACTCACGGGCCTAGACGAACGCTGTATCTTTGGAGGCGGTGGCCGAGGCGGACGGAGTCTTTGCTGCTGTATTAAAGTGGAAACTAAATTAAAGTCACCTACATGAAAACACCTCTGATTTTGTGGCAAAAGCAGTATGAGTAGACGACAACATGAAATTACCTTAACTTCATACTCACCTCACAAAATGCAATTTTTCTTTTTTTCTTTTCCTTCCCCCCACCCCTAAAACCAGTGACAAATCTCAGGACCTACAGAGTGCCACAGCCATAGCTGCCTGTTGATGTAGGCTTAACATAAGCCAAAAGGTAGGAGGATCAGCACTCCAGACCAGAGCATCTAAAATTTACTGAGACAATAAAATGCTCAAGGTGGATTCTTAGAACTCAAGGTCCAAGTGTTCTAGACAACACTTAGGCAAATAGAAAGAAACCTGCAAAGCAGGACATTCAAAAAAGCTTTCACTAAAATCTCAAGAGTGATTTTAGTGCTTGTGAAAATTCATGGTAAAGGCCTCAAACCAGAAAAGACTTTTAAGAGTACAAGAAAAAGCCCTAAGTCAATTAAACTTTTCACACAGTTAAACATGAGCGTATGTTTAGATGCTGTACCGGACCAAGGCTTACACGCAACACATAGAGCAAAGTGTGCACTGTCATTCTAAAGAAAACTAAAAGCCTCATCACCAACAGTTCCAATGAAGACAGAAGAGTGCATTAAGATGCTTGTTTTGGTCTCTTATTTTTAAAATTAGCAGTTGGCCAACTCACTGCTTTGTAACAGCACTGGAGCTATTCCAATCCAGTTGCTTTTGACTGAGTCAGCAGCATGACTCTCCTCACACAGATGGCATCTCAAGGTATACTCTGTTAGACAAGGAATCCACTGGCGATTAATGAGATTCTAAATAAAACCATCCTACAGTACAGCTTTGATATTGAGAATGAGATCACAGTTAGCGTCCTCTCTGTGGCAGCTTCTGTACACATACTGGCACTTCCAGAGAGCAGTGGAGTCCTCAGTGAGGAGGACATGGGAATGTCTTTGAACGCCGATTACTGCATCACTGCTGCCCTAGCCCATGGTGCCTTCCACAGATAGAACCTGTCAGCCATACAGAGAACAGGAGCTGGCAGTGGGAGTCAGCTTCTTCAGACAGAAAAAGAGAGCTTATGCAGATTACTGTAGTTCTTTCCAAAAACTATTCTAGATTCATACCTTAGCAGTTCTCAGCTTCTTACCATCATAGCCTTTATTCTAGATTGACATTTTTTCTCAACTACCCTTACACTGCGTAATTGTACAAGTCCAGCCTACCCTTTTTCACACCATTTTCATTCTCGCAGCTTTTCAGACTTCTCTTTCAAATTTCCCATTAAATTATATTTTTGCATCCTTTGGTTCATTTCTCCTTACTTGTGTTGTCACTGAAGGAGTGCCAGACTGCACACATGTACTTGGCTCAGCTTTCTGGGGTGGGGGAGGAAAAAAAAAAACAATCCACAACCAAAAAAGGACACTTGGGATGGAGAGCCAAGGCCAGAATTATTCCATGTGATAGCTTCCCTCTATATTTTCCAAGAAAGCAGCTATGAAAACAAAGAGAACAAAGAGAGACATGGCAGGGTGGCTAGCTGAGATGGTTGCCATTAGCTGTTTCTCTTCTGCACCTTGTACTAATCAGGTCAGTCACAGGAGCTGAGTTAGGCTGCTGTGTATCTTCCCATCATATCTGCTCAGGCTGAGAGCACAATCTTGAAATATATCTAACTTGTTATGCACCACAGCATACTTATTGCCTATTATTCTTCAGAAGCAGAATGAAACAGCTGAAAAACCCTGAAATCTGCACTTTTCTGGTTACTTTAGAGGGCTTCACTTACTACCTAACAGACTAGGCAAAGTATCTGATGAAGAACGAAACCAAGATACAATTATTATTCATTTATTCTTTTCAATTCTTTTATGCCTCCTGCATATGTATTTCCCCTTGTTACTTTTTCTCTTATACTTACCTAGAAATTGTGAACATTTCTACATTAGAAAACTCTCAAGCAGGTTATTTAGGTGGGAAATTCAAATATTTTCCTAAAGCCATGGCTAGCAGTGTCTTCCTTGACTTGGGAATCAGCCAAACCACACACAGCACTAATATTTCACTCCCATTAGTCCTAAGTGACCAACAATTACAAGTCGGACCTTAAAACATCATGGTGTTGGGCCAGAACTCAAAACTTTATGCACTTTTTCTTTCCTTTTGATCTCTGAAAGGTAAGCATAAGCCCATGTTGCTTCCAATATTTTCTCAGTTCAAGAGGGTAAAAACTCTTCCCTTTAATATGATCTGTGATTCTCATTTCATTACTCAACTCTAGGACCAAGGAATACTGAAGACAGACTTTGTCAAAGTTTATGATACATGCATATACACTTACTGAGGTTACCTCAAGCTTCCATTTTATTTGGGCCTTATGAAGTGACATAGGAGATTAAAAACAAAGAAAATAATCTTTACTTGATTATTTGCAATTCAGACTATTTCTTAACACAATCTAAACCTATAAGCACAGCTGTGATGTCAAACCTGCAGTCATTTCTTCCCAGCATTCTTCTCCTTTTTACTAAGCTTTCTGCTGCTATCACCATTGATTCATCTTGCTGCTCTTCTAAACTTACTTTTTTCATTGACAGAACTCTCCCCTTCCCTTACTGAAGTTATCACATGACAAATCAATGCCACACAGACTGACATCTTGAATTCCAGGTAGAATTCAGTCCAGGCACAATTTACTGATAAATCCATACCTTTGAAGAGTCATAATCTAAACTCCTTATGGAGCTACCTTAAGAAAAAAAAATCATCATTCAAATTCATGACCTTGCTACAAGATTTGCCAGCAAAAGAAAGGATGGACAGCTGCTATCTCACTGACATCTGCTGCACCAGCATCTTGAGAAGCTTTCCTCAAACAGCAGCTAAAATTCTACACCTATCTACTGAAAATTTTATTATTTCTCCTCCAGAACAGCCGGCAAGTGACAAGATACCAGACACAAGAAATACTCGGTGAGAATGTCCATCAGGCATTTCTGATCAGACAGAGGCAGTTTTCTCTGGGTGATGGTTACAGGCAGACCTACTCAGCAACAATGAACTACTCCTTTGCAGGAGCTGATGCATTCGTATCCTTTATCCTGGCACTGGATTATTTTTTCCAGCTGAGATACAAATATCACATATGATTAAATTAAGCCTTCACCTTTGAGGAAAAAAATGATTCTGTATGCTTCCACAATAAAGACACATCTAAAATGCAGATTTAGGAAGAGATTAGAAGTGTAGGAACTTCTACATCTCTTGAACTTCTAAACAGTCATTCTGTTAACTCTCAGAGCTGTGTCCTCAGTACTTGTAACAACACAGTCACATTCAACACTCAGATTTATATTTATCTTATTCACCAAAGTGCTATGAGAAATAAAGTTAGAGTTGCACCACATACTACATTTCTGAACCCTAAAGAGATATGAATAGAATGGTAAGACAAAACTATACATTCACAGCAGCGTGTTCTCTCTATTAAATACAGATAGGGAAATAGCATGGCTTAAAACAGTGTTCTGAAGCATTGAAAGGAATAGGCAAAGGGCAGTGAGGAGTAACTGACGTGGAGGTGCACCAGGAGATAACAGTTATCTGCCCTTTACCAGAGCTTCATTTTTAATGTTGATGTTAATGTGTCACAAGAGTGGGATAAGCAAGTATATTCGAACTATATGAAGACCATATTTACTGGAAAAGCCACTGATTTGAAGTTAATTTGTTAATGCAGCAAAACACATTGTTTCTAAAAGGTCAGTAGGGGAAGTTGTGTTGGAATATCAACTTAATTACCTGTGCTGTAAGGATGAATGGGTACAAAACACCACATGGCTACATTGCTAAAAGCTGTTAAATTGCTATTCTAGGTGTGTTTCTAAATGTATATACTATAGGTTTTTCTATGAAGAGGAGAAATGTCTAAATTAGCACTTTCTCACCAATAGCTGTTTACCAACATACCTTTTAATCTAGGTATTTTCTTAATTGTCTGTTCTAAATACTTTTGAAGGTACAAGACAGAAAATCTGCAGAAAGCCAATTTTATCACTGCAGATCTGGCACTGTTTTACTAATTATCAGACAAGTGATTTTAAGCAATGAGAGGTTGGGGGAAGAAAACTCTTACTTTCATGTTTACAATGAAAAAATACTTTAATTTAAAAATTATAGAACTCACATCTCAAAGCAGCTATTATATATGCAAGCAACTTTAACAACACAGCTAGTTAGGGGTTTTATACTAAAGAAGACATTACGAAAAGATAACTTTTAGCCTGCAAGGTAACAGCTTGCGAGCAGAATATTATCTCAAACTAATTGTGGATGTCTGTTGAGATATTTTTAAAGTGGCATTCAAAACAGAGTCTTTATGAGTAAATCAGAGGTGCTATTTCGTGTGCAGCAACAAGTACAACTAGAAGAAATGCACAAGGAAACACAACTAGATGAAAAGCGGTTTGTCAGTACATATAGAAACAAGCGTTTTCATTCTCAATTAGTAGCAAGGGGTGTTGCTAATAATTTCCAAAGCAAAGCTTTTCTACATGAATATCTTATTTCCTTCAGAAACTCAGGTCTGATTTAAAAATTGCTAGCATGTTTCAGACATTCAGACACAGGAGAGATGCACTGTCCTGAATGTACCCATGCTCAAACACCTCATGCTGCAAAAGATCTGAAGTGCTGACTTTGGGAGAATATGCTGGACCTCAACTGAACACTCAATAAAAAAACAGGGGAGAAAATAACAACACTGAAAAATGCATGGTACCTACAAAGACTCAGTACAGAAAGCAGATGGAATCTATGAGGCAGCTGTTTTATTATCCATCCACATAATAGCACGCACACTACTCTTTACATACTCCCATATGTACAGCTCACAAACTGGGATGACAAGAACAGTGCATGCTTTACAGTATATATTTTTAATTTACACGCTGAAATACTTCAACAGAAATCT